ATTACACACTGTAGCTTTAAGCCTGGTCACGTCGTACTTGGTTACTGAATGCTGTGTGTGTAACTTGTGTAAAAAACGTGACGTAACTTACGTAGAAAACGTGACATAAGTCGTGCTGCCCAGCACTAGTCTCTGGTGCTTCCTGGAACCATTAAGAGAACCGTTAGGCGAGCTGCCAAACGGTGCCATGGAATTGAAACGCACGGAACCGTTTTGAACAAGAACCGGTTTTTCAATTAATCTTCAATTCAACTTATTTAGATGATCCACCCGGAAATAAAAGATCGTCTTCTATACCTTTAATGGCAATATAGTGAAGCACATCATAATGCATTTAGCCTCAACACAGTTTATTACCTTATGCATCATAATTAATTATCTTCTGTTGGTTACTGTTGTGTTAAGCTTCTCATGAGTTTTAAGCTTTGTCCATCTTTAAATTTTTCCAAAACTCCTTTTTGGTTCTGAAAATTAGATTGTGTTGAATCCTCTAGATATTTCAAGAAATGTTTATTTAGTAATTTACAAGGTGTCTTTTTGAATAGAATTCCCATTCCTACTATGTCTACCAAATGCAAAATCCTGGCAATGCTGTCAGAGAAACCTCTAAGATGAAAGAGCTGTTTCAGAATAAAGAAATTGTAATCACAAATTACAATGAGTGGTCAATTGCTGACAAGCCTCCAGGACTGATTGAATCAGTGTCCCATCAATTGATGAATTCAAGAAGGTAATATAATGATATATACTATCTGATGATACCAGTATAAGTTAGATTATTGATAATGTTGTAGTTAACATTGTATGATTTCATGATAATTTATCATCACTTACAAACATGTGTCATTTGAAGTATCTTTAAAAATTAAAGATTTGTGTTGCCAAAATTGTATTTATTTATATTTTTTCTGATAAAACTCAGATTTTAATTCCAATGGTTTAACTGCCTCAGGTTGTTGTCTTTCACAGTATTATCACTTTCTTGTTTTTGTTACAGAGAGGCTTCTCCTCAAAAATCCCCTGGCACATTCTGACAACAGTTTGTAATTACATTTTAATAGTCAATTAAAGCCAGCCCATCAATCAGGGACTGTTGTGGACAAGGGGTATTAATTTATTTTCTTTAGAAAAAAACAAACATTTAGTCAGTCATGTCAAAACCAATTAACCCATGCTGCTTTATCAAAATAAAAATTTTAGGGATTCATCGAAATATCACACTTTTATATTTAAAATAAGGAATAAACGTTTGAAAGAAATCAAAACATAAAATAGTTATTTATTCAACATTTATCATGTGTGACACATTGTGTAACATTAACAACCTTTATCTTTTATATGGTGGCTTTCTCTTATATTGGGTGACTCAAACATGCAATGTATGAGTTCTGAAAACGATTTTGATGCTGTGTAGTGGGAAAGGACAGAATCTGCATTTAAATATGTTAGAAACTAAACAGGGATTAAGTGGGGATAGTTGCTGGTCATTGTTGGGGTTAATTCATCTGACACTGCATGATTCTGTGATAGTCATCATAGTTACTAATGACTCCCTCTGTTCGGTAACTGCTTTAATACCTGCTGTTTTTTTGATTAGAGGCAGAGAACAGAACCCCTAAATCTGAGGCCAGACAGCAGGCGGAATAATTGCTGTTTTCATGCTTAACATTTTTTTTAAATTCTGCAAGTCAGGAAGAAGGAGGATATACTTAGGCAAAAAAAGGTCTTCCATAATCACATTATAGGAGGAAAAAACTAATGTGAGTGTGTAACCCTGGTTGTTTTTTCTTTTATAAATCCAACCCTAATTTATATGCTCACTGGTGTATGTGTTTCAGCAGACAGAGGATGGAGAGGAGGAAACTCCACTGGAAAGCTCATCCTCCTTGGAGCTGGAGTTTGTCGACGATCCCAATTTTAAAAACAAGGTCAACTACTCCTCCAGTGCTGTCCAGATTCCCACAGACATATACAAAGGCTGTAAGTTGTTCCAGATTTTATCATACCGGTATTGTAATTGAAATGCTGTTTGCGCCTTAATTGCATAAGATGTGCATTCCAAGGTACCCTTTAAAATGAATAGAGGATGCACTGGGTTCTGATAAGGCTACATACCATTTAGCAATTGTCCGACTGCAATCATATTGTTAAATTTTGCACTGATATCAGTGGCAGTAAAGCTACATTTTTAGTCTCTTGACACATGCTGTGACAGGTGTGAGCATCTACTAGAATGAGACTAGAAAATTCTATACCATAAGTAAGTGAGCAAATACACACTCGCATCTAAGGAGAATTTAGAGAAGCCAAGTAACCTAACAGTCATGTTTTTGGACTGTGGGAAGAAGCCGGATTACCCGATAAGAACCCGTGCATGCGCAGGGAGAACATGCAAACTCCATGCAGAAAGACCCTGGGCCAGGAATCGAACCTGAAACCTTCTTGCTGCAAGCAGCTGTGCTAACCAGTGTTCCACTTGCAGCCAACTTTTTCTACATAACAGAAAAAAAATATTATTCACTAGGTCCAACACATTTGTTGTTAAAAACAAACACGGCATGTCCGATTGATGAGGATCTTATTAAAGTATGATCCGCAATATTTCACAGAGCATTAAATATTTATAGGGAGATGATTCTACAACTCAGTTGACAGGATATATGACATATATTTGTTTTTGGTTTGTTTAAATGAGCGAGATGCAGATCATTTTATTTTTATTTATTTATTTTACAGTACACATAGAACTGCTGAAACTATTTTGATATTACACATAAATAGATTAATTAATTCCATGGGAGGGGAGAAAATTTACTTTGGCAAGCCAGTTTGATATGTATTTGTTTGACTGAAAACATTTTCCTGAAGAAAAAAAATGACCATTTTATTACCATTTACATCTACAATAAACATTCGGTGTATCTCAAAATTTATTTCAAATCTCCATTTTCCTATTGTTACTGGTCATCATTTGTATTATCTTGACTATGAAGAGATGCATTTCAGATATAAATACATATTCATTCAAGGTGATACATTTTAAAACGGTCACTTAAAATGTGTAAACTTTTCTAGGTATATAAGACTTAATTCTTACTAGAACCTCTTTTATTGCATTTCCGACTAGGAATGAGATTTTGATCGGATAGTGATCTAAAAATAGAACAACACAGAGGAGAGTGCGTTTAAACAGCCTACCATAAACCACACCAAATAAACGTATGCATTAACTCGTGCAACAATCTTCTCCTTCGCCATCTTCATCTCTTTTGTAGCTGTAGCGCTGTTTCTCTGTCTTTTAAACACATTGTCCTTTTTTTTCATTTCTGGATTGAAATCTCTAGTTCCAGGGTGGTGAAATAGGCACTTCCTGGTGTGTGTGGTCATGGTAACTCATCAATGGGGGTTCCACTGATAAGGTCTTTTCATACTTGTTACGCACATGTTCAACTCTGAGTGGACTAATTCACAGCAGCCATTGTGAAACCAAAAACTCAGTTTCTGACCTTAGGCTAGAACAATTTAGAGTTGGGGATTTGAATCTGAGTTTGTTAAACATGCTTCTTGAAATGGACTCATTATCCCTGGTAAATATTGAAAGTAGATTAAATACAAAATGATTGATCTGAGAGGAGTTTTAAGGTCTGCTGTATAAAATGTCATGGTGTAGAAACAGGTAGATAGCCATATTACAGTTAACAAGCTGCAACGTGAGCAGCATGACAGTGCTAAACTGCAGGCTCTTAGACATTTAGACCAGATAACTGTCTGGGTGCTTAAAATCTAGTACTAAATTTAGCATGAATAACTCTATATTTTTGCTCTTTATATTAAATGAGGTTAGCAATACATTTTTTTTGGGCCTAACTATCATTAATAATCAAAAACATTGTTGTGACTAATTGTTGATTTTCTGTCTTTATGTAAAACAATTGGATCAAAGTTTTGCTTTAAATCATTTTTTATATATTTCGGAAATGTATTGTGTTTCATGAAATATAATAATAATTTATCCCAATTGTAAAGCAGCAGTAAGGGAAAATATTTCAACAGAATGAAAAAAATGCTATTTTTTTCTTTAAGCTACAAAGGCCAGAGAACTTCATAAAACTATACATGTCAGCCTGTTTTTTTAGTCTCCATAGTTATCCTTTAAAAGGATTGGATGTGTATAGAAATGCAGGTTGTAGAGTTTATGTGGTCTTTTGTTTATTTGAATTTTCATAAAGATTTTTCTTATACTGTGAGTTTTGTTTGTGATTTGTTTTTTAAATGTGCTTTATAGATAGAGTTCATATTTTAAAGAGAGTGCAGTGTCATAGCGAGATGTTTTGTCCTCTTCACTCTCTCTCAGTAACTCAATCTTCTTTGACATAATTTTCCACTTTAGAACAGTAACTTGATTTCAGATGATAGGTACTCGCTCCTAAAACGATTCCTACTGTATTTTTTCCTTTATTCCTTTAACTGCTCATCCCTCTTTCTCATTAAAATCCTCACCATTACTGCACAGCATTCCTCAGCCCTGCAAAAATAACACCACCCTTGACAAACAGCTACTAAATGAGCAGAATGTACCTTCTTGGATTTTTGTTAGTATGTTTCTTCTATCTACCGATCGAACACTTTGAACAATTTCATAGAGTTCCTTAAAAATAAAAAAATAAACGGGGCAGGTGCAGACAGAAACAGAAATTTTTACCGAAGCAGTTTCTTCCTCTCTGTTATTGTCTTACTCTTGACTTTCTTTGTCAAGCTGACAGTGTATGGCACCTGTCTGTTACAATGCCCTCCAGCTGCCTCTCTCCAGACAAATCTTGTCAGAATTAGACACTCGTGGTTCAGGAGAAGATGTCAAAGGCCAAAGCTAAATCACAATAGAGCAATCAAGGCTGCTCATTGTTCCCGGAGCTATTTTATGGCGGCTCTGGTTCCCCTGTCTGAGGATGTGAGCCAGAGGATAAAGGGCTCTTGATTGAGTCCAGTGAAATCTAAAGGAGTAGAGTGGTGCAGTGCATGGAATTACTTATTTTTCTTCTGCTCTGTGGAAAATGTTTACTATTGATGTTGCTTAGTTAGCTCCCAATGCACAGTCTGCACTGCTTAGATTGCCAACTGCAGATTTTTTGCCAATCCAATTATAAGCATGTGTGTTTTGTTAAAGTTGTTGATAAAAATAAAAAAGAATTTTATTGCAGTGCATGTGTAGAATAGTTCTTAAAGCTCCTTTGAGAGCAAACAGCATGTCCCTGACAGAGTCCTGATCAAGCACTTAAATGTTTTCACAGACATGGATTAAAATATGTTATATTTGTAAATGCTTTTTTCTCTTTTTTGCAACTTTGTCTAATCCGAATAGGTCCTCTATAAAGCGTAGCTTTTGCAAGGCATTGGGGTTTATTACATTGTATTTTTTGATAAAATCCAGTAATGCATCAGATGCAAACAATCATTCTGAAATGTACTGTTTTGCCAAGCTCATTATTTGCATATCTACACGGGTTTCTTAACTCTGGTCGTCAAGCCCACTGTTCTACATGTGTTCAGTGTTTTCCTGCCTCCACAAACCTTACCTGAAAGAAAAAGGGATTGACAGTGTTTTGCAGCATTTGATGGCTGCCGAGGAGGTAATGCATCATTTGGTTCAGGTGTGCATGTGTACCAACCCAAGTTGAACCTCAGGTTCTCCTTTTGTTCTTATTTGTTAGCTGCATACTGAGCTAAAGTTCGGATCAGTCATTTTATTCTTATTTGGTTACGGTGTCTTGGTTCATGTGATGGTTCGGTTTGTTTTGTTGAGGCAGATAAGCTGGTATTCTTGCAGTGTGTAGCTCATGAAGCCTGCTAACTCAAAGGCAGTTTGAGTCCTCTTGAAAACAAGTCTGAGACTTTTGAATGTCAGTCATCTTTTTTTTTCCAGAACTACACTGAGTTGCATTAAAGTTGTCTTGCTTTTTTGCTAAATCTCGTTTGAGCCCTTAAACACTTGATATTGAGGCAGAATTTAGTCAATCATGAACCTTTTTACTGCTTTATATCTTCACATACAGTTATGGAAAGTCAACTATTAAAAAATTCAGTCAGCTATTTTTTATTTAGCATTCCGAATGTGGTTGAAGGTGTATATTTGATCTACTTTGCTGTGTTGATAGACTTTGAGGAAATATTCTGTGTATACGATCCAAATGGTTTCCTGGTCTCCACCAGGAACAGTACTTGGGTCATAAAACGTCACTGCTCATCTCCAGACCACGTCTGTCATCCCTTTATCTGACTCATCTTTTTTATACAAATTATAATAAAAATGTAATTTATTGCAATTTATTGCATTGTATTGCAGAGAAGGATAATATATAATGATGTTTCCTAATAAAATGGACAGTTAAACGTAAAAACAAATATGTTCATTTAGTGAAAGAATAAGTTTGGGTAACAGCTGACTGATTGTGCAAGACTCCTACCTCAACGTAAACTGTTTTCATACCTGAAAAAAGACTAGAAATAGAAGAAAAATGGTGAATGCAAATTTTTATCCTATATCACTCGTACTAACGATTTAAGAACAAATTAGTTTGTACAAACACTTTTTGCATGAGGCTCATAGTTTCCGGACCATGTGACCAAGTGATCCATCAGCTCCCTGTACTCCTTGTCCACCACTAATGAATCCCAGAACTGCAAAGTCATTGAACTATTTCTGCAAATGAAAAGAGTCTGTCTGAAACAGGAAATCTTAGGTGGTGCTTCTTTGCTGCAGACTACTTGATTAGAAAGCTGACCCCTCAGTCTCTCAAACTGTGGTCTGTTTGTCAGGTATCCTTTGATCAAGGCCATTGTTGATGCCTCCACTAGAGTCTTCTGGAGTTTCTCACCAAGCAAATTAGGGTGAATCATGATAAATGCTTTGCAGAAATCAATAAACACTGTTTTCTGCCTTGTCTAAATGACAATAGGTTTGTTGAAAGCAGGTGTATGATGGC